GGTGAGCACTTCCTTCCCAAAGTCTCTTGTGCTGACTGCAGGCAGTCCCGGAAGTTTTCCTGCCAGGATGTCTGTCAGAGAGGAGCAGCCTGACCTAGAGTCATTTGCTCCGCGGGGCTTTCTTTGAAAAGAGGCTGATTTCATTTTGCATGTTCTCAGTGGCCTTGGGGAACACCTCCCACCAGAATAGCAATATTCAAAAGAAATTCAGGAGGAAATGATTCATTCAAGCTCTTAAACGGGCCACCTGTGACATAGGGGAACCTTCCTCCAGATTGCACAGGGTTGCCGGACATCACAGGTTTACGCCAGGCTGCCTGGGGATGAGTTTTGGTTCCAGCATTTACTAACTATGTGACCTTGTTACTGGGAGAGACAAATGACATGATTCATGCAGAGGACGCACCATAGCCATTTGGTCCAAGAAATGAAAAGATTCCTGTTAGTTCTTACTGGAAGGTCTTTCCTGGTGCCACTAAGTGGTTCTTCAGCCGCTGCCTGGTGTGGCGTCACTTAGACTAAGTTCGTAGGCATCTTTGTAATATGACCCCAAATCAGAGAGACTGCTGTAGAGTATAACAATGCCCCAAAGTTAGGCTTCACGCTTGTATAGCCTGGTGGTGGCATTACAGATGGGTTTTACATTACATAGCCTCCTCGTATATGGTCAGGGAGCAAGACTGATTATAATGATGACCCTATGTGTGGGTGAGCTACAGGAATAGTGATCTGGGAGAACTCCACGCGTCCCTTCTAAGTTGAGGCTACGCAGTAGACCTTGAGGCAGCTTGGGAGTGAGGCTAGACCAAAGCAAAACAAATATCGCTTTTATAGGCTTACATTTTATAGCTTTCCTCCCATCTTCTTGTCTAGATTTTTTGGGGGTGGGGGCCATCTGGTATACCCCGTTCTAATATGCTTTCATTCTTCATGGTGACCTTTACTATTTAAAAATGCAAGCTAGGTGGATAGTCCGACTCTAGTGAAGCAGTAGGTGCCTACTTACTGCTTCAGGGTTCACAGCCCCCCCCCGCCCCCGCCCCCGCCCCAGGCTCTAGCTTCACTCTTCTTGAACAAGACCTCTCTCTCCGAGACTAATTAAGCCATCTTGGATACAAGCTCGTTAGGCTGAAGAAAGAGAATGGAAGAGACGCATCCTTCCCCCCCCCCAGCCATTTATAGGAGCCTCTTTTGTGAGTCGTATAGTAGGGCCACAGGATACCTCCCTGTCCCTGAAACATAAGCAACTCCCAAGATGTGAGGGCGTGTCATCCTGTAAAAAGAGTTAGCCTCAAGACCCTCTTTTTAAGAGAAGAGGTTGAGCCCTGTTCTTCCCAGCCCAACGGTACAGAGTGAGGGTGTTCTGTCAATAAAAGACCCTGGAGCAGAAGAGAACTTTGCACTTAAGGAGAGCCCACAGACTGATGGGGGATGTCCTTCTGTATGCTGCGAATAAGTGTTTCTCATAGTGGTTGATGAATAAATGCTGATTGGCCAGTAGCCAGGCAGGAAGTATAGGTGGGGCTACCAGACCAGGAGAACTCTGGGAAGAGGAAGGCAGAGAGGAGTCGCCAGCGAGACACCGTGTAGCCTACAAAAGGAGTAACATGCCCGAGCTTTACGGGTAAGCCACAGCCTCGTGGCGATACATGGATGGATAGAAATGGGTTAATAACTAAGAGAGAGCTAGCCAGTAAGAAGCCTGAGCCAGAGGCCAAGCAGTTTACAATTAACAGAAGCCTCTGTGTGTTCATTTGGGACTGAATGACTGTGGGACCAGGCGAAACAGAAACCCCGCTTTCACAGACGCACAGCGATTCCATGCAGGTCCACCGGCGGCTGGGAAAACAGACGAGGAAGAACAGATTGAAGGGGCCACTCAAGACATCATGATGTCACTTTAGATCCAAAATGTCTCCCCAAGCCCCGCCTGCCTGTCTTGTTTTTCTCCGTGGTGATGTGAGAAGGTGGTGGAGCCGTTAAGAGTTGCGTGGGGGACCTATGGGAGGTTAAGTCACGTCTTGAGAGGGGTTTGTGAGCCTGTTTTTCCACCACATACCCCTACTACGTACGGCGCACTGCCTGTCATAGGCCCCAGATCCATAAGGTCAACTGGCAGGGACCTTCCAAACTGCAGACCCAAATAAGCATCTCCCCCCTCTTAAGTGGGTCTGCCATTTGTTACGATACTAAAACTCTTACTAGTGTGGCTTACACAAAGCTGGGGGGGGGGGAGGAAGAGGAGTTGTGGGACAGTAACACACGTAGAAAACTCAGGGAGGACTGCCACGATGGTCCCGACGTCATTTGTCATCTGGCCTGACTACCAGCTGAGACCTGCAGACCCAGGCAAAGGACTCTGTGTTGGGTTGGGTGGGAGAATTCAATCCAGAGGAAGCCCCACGTCAGCTACCAGCCCACTTTAAAATAATGTCCATCTGTCTACCTGGGGATGTTCTCCACCGAGGTTGAATTAGAGCGGCAACCAGCAAGGAGAGATGCCAGACAGAGGAGGCAGCGGCAGCTGTATCAGGAGGCTGTCTAAAGAACATAAACCCTCCCACTGGGGAGTGATGGTGGGAAGGTCTTCTGCCAGAGATAATGGTCCTGGGTACCGTTTCCCAACTCCATGTTCCCTGGGGATCATTTCAAAGTTTAAAATCGGAAGAGGAATGCCGGGCGTTGGCGGCGCACGCCTTTAATCCCAGCACTTGGGAGGCAGAGGCAGGCGGATCTCTGTGAGTTCGAGGCCAGCCTGGTCTACAGAGTGAGTTCCAGGACAGCCTCCAAAGCCACAGAGAAACCCTGTCTCAAAAAAAAAACCAAAAAAAAAAAAATCGGAAGAGGAACCAGACAAGGTCATGGTGGCGGCACAGGCCTGTAATCTCAACGCTTGGGAGGTGGAGGCAGAAAGATTAACCAGTTCAAGGCCAGCTTTGGCTACACGAGGCCCCGTCTCAAAAGACAAAACAAAATAAACAATAACAACAAACACAAAACAAAAGGCAAACAGAAAATTAGATGGACAGATCTGGGAGTGGTGGTAAAGGTATTTTCTGATACGGACAGTGCCCTGGACATCAAGATAATAAATAAGTAAGAACAGAAAATAGGCAGATCTTTTTGTTTGTTTGTTTGTTTTGGTTTTACGAGACAGGGTTTCTCTGTATTGTTTTGGAGGCTGTCGGTCCAGCCTGGCCTCGAACTCACAGAGATCCGCCTGCCTCTGCCTCCCGAGTTCTGGGATTAAAGGTGTGCACCACCACCACCCGACAAATAGGCAGATCTTAATCTGCATTGGTTCTGCATTGAAAGTGATAGGTCGTATGGGTGGAAAAGAGAAGCAAGTTTTAGTAAAAGACAATGTTAACGGCGTCAAGAAAGAGGTCCATCCGTGTCTAACTCAAGAAGTGGTCTAGATGATTCTATGAGTACAGCATTGAGTGAAGGACACTAAGAAGTCAGGTGGGGGTAGGGGAGAGAGGGACAGCAAATCTTAGTCCCTGGTGTCAAGGGGACAGCATCAGGGCAAAGTAACCTCCGTTATCCTCGCCATTGCCAAGGGCAGTAGGACAGTCTCTGAGTTTGCCAGCCTGGTCTACATGGGGAGCTCCGAGCTAGTCAGGACTGCAGAATGAGGCCCTGTCTGAAAGCAAAACAAAAACGGACGACAACAACAAACAGTAAACTCTAAAACAAACTGTTCGACAATGAGCCGTATAATTCTGTGTTCAGCGTCCAAACCCACAAGTCACTGCTCTTTATCATAAGAATTATGTAAGGGCAGCAGATATTATGCTGATTGATAACCATGGTTTGTGTTTTCACAAACAGAAACTGTGTGCGTATGAGGGGGGAGAGGAGCGGGAGAGAGAGAGAGAGAGAGAGAGAGAGAGAGAGAGAGAGAGAGAGAGAGAGAGAGAGAGAGAGAGAGAGAGAGAGAGAGAAGAGTAAAGAAGGCAGAGGCACCAGCAGATTAAACTCTCAGCTGAGAGATACTGTCTTACTGTCTACAGCTGTGGCTGGAGATGGCTTACAGCCTGTTGTCACTAGAAAGGGGACATTTGATATGATCTGCAGAGACATGGAGAAGTCTGGCAGGCGGGTAGGGATTAGCATTTCAAGAGGAGAGCCCATCCAAGACAAGCAAAGAGGGTTGGAGGGAGAGCCGAGAAAGGACGGAGGGAGATCACAGAGACTTTCCACACTGGACGTGTAGGTCTGTTTTTCATTACCGTAATGCCATGAGACTGGGTACTTCATGAAGAAAATAGGTTTGCATTGGCATCTGGTCATTCTCCTTCTCTCTCTCTCTCTCTCTCTCTCTCTCTCTCTCTCTCTCTCTCTCTCTCTCTCTCTCTCTGTGTTTGTTGTGTGTGTGTGTCCATCTGTCTTTGTCTGTGTGTTTGTCTTCTCCCTGTGTCTGTCTGTCTGTCTCTGTGTGTCTATGTGTCTGTCTCTGCCTGACTCTGTGTGTCTGTCTCTCTTCCTCTCTGTGTCTGTCTGTCTCTCTGTCTCTATCTGACTCTATTTGTCTCTCTGTGTGTATGTTTGTCTGTCTGTCTTCTCTCTCTCTCTTTTTGTCTGTCTCTGTGTGTGTACCTGTCTCTGCCTGCCTTTGTCTGACTCTGTGTGTGTGTGTGTGTGTGTGTCTTTCTCTCTCTCTGACACAGAGTCTCATGTAGCTTTCCCTGGCCTTGAATTCACTATAGTCCAGAATAGCATGATTCTCTTTGCCGCAGCCTCCTGAGCGCTGGAATCAGAGGTGTGTGCCACACCTAGCTTTGTTTTTAGCTTTCTTGTTGGCAGAGTCCTGGGGTGGCACAGAACGCTACATAACCAGAGACAGGGAGCATTTGCCTATGTCTCCTTTTTTTGTCTCCGTTTTAGAAGCAGCCAGTATTCCCTCATGGAGGCTCCGCTCTGCCAACTGATCCGAGTTTCCACTTATTTTTTTTTCCGTGTATCTAGTTCACGGGTGGAGCACGTGACACGGCACCCACATGGGGTCAAAGGACAGCTTGTGAGAGACAGTGCTTTCCTTCTACCTGCGGTCCTGGGGTTCCAATTCCAGTTGTCAGGGCTGGTGGCAAGTGCCTTCACCTGCTACGTCATCTCTGGCTCCTGTCCACGCCTTACAATGCGGATTATCTCAACACATGGGCTCTGCCAGGTCAGACTAAAAGCGGAACCCGGGGACAGAGGTTTGCTTTGGCTTGTGAAAAATGAGAAGTCAGGCACCGAAGAGTCTCACAGGTTGCAGGGTGGGAAAACGGGGAGGCGGGGAGGTTCGTCTAGATCTGAGAGAGCTCTGTCAAGTCTCTGGGTGACAAATTGTGGAGAAGAAAGAACGGGTGACAGAGAAATCAGAAAGTATTGTGGTGGGGGGGGGTCTGGGAATAAGTCGAGAAGTTTGTTTATACTGGGGATTAGTTTTTACTTCCTCAGAGAAAGTCCCCAAAGACGGGCTTAGGAGAACGGAAGTATTTCTGTCTCCTGCGAGAGTCCAGCTGGGCAATCTGGGGCTGGTGTGTTTGTTCTGCAGAATCTGCAAGGCTCAAGGGCCCTCAGCTCCTGGCCCTGCCTTTCCTAATCACAGTTGGCCTGGGGCAGTGCATTATCTGTACCGGAAAAGGCGATGGAGGGGCAAAGAGGAAGAGGGGGCAGACAGTCTAACGAGGGTCTGCGAAGGATTGCTTCCAGCAGCTACTACCGAGTACCACCTCATGTCAGATCTCAGCAATACGGCCACATCTAGCAAGGGCAGCCGGAGAATGAGGCATCCTGTAACCAGATTCCCAGCCAAGGGCTCTGTCACCGTCTGGGAAAGAAAGAATGGGTACCAGGAAATTCTCTGGCTTCCCCAAGCTACCATGTCTTCAAATCAAAAGAGGAAGGACAAGAGGCTGTACTTTATAGCAGTGGAAAATTATTCTCCGGATCTTCACGAGAAAGAATTTTCAAATTATCTTCCATCCCGGAATCCTGTTTCTAAGCGGATTGCCCTGGAAACCAAATAACCGTACAGATAACGCTGGCTTTGCCTCAAGTGGCCAAGTCTACCTACCCATGCCGCTGGAGAGGGTTGATTTGCCCAGGTCTTCATGACCCTGCCGTAATAACCCTCCCTTCAGAGATGCTCTTAAACGGACAATAAAGTCCATTATCCTAATGCTGTCAAAATACAGTTGTTTAAGCACAGCCTGTTAGCCTGTGGACCACTCCCAGCCCCCATTATTCTTGCTCTTTGGTGAAACAGCCGTAGCCCCTGGCTCCCCACATCACAGACATCCCAGTGGTCTCCCCTCCACCGGGTACCCTGCCCACGGCTTCCCGAAGCATCTTCCTAAGCCAGTGCTGACAACAGTGACTGTACTGTGTGCCACCCATGTGGGTAAAGTGTCCTGTGTGTACTGCCTTGCGTACTTGTTTGGGTTGCTGGGGACAAACCAGGGACTCTCTGTGTGGTAGGCAGGACTCTACCGCTGTGCTACATCTCCAGAAAAAAATGTTCTACCTTAAAACAACTCCTTCCTCTTGCCCTCAAAAAGTCTCATCCTACCGAGCCTGAGACGCTACCGTGTTGCTCTCTGGCTCGTGAGGGCAAACCTGAAAGGTATTTCTTGTTCTCCACGCTCTGCCTTCTGTTCCTCTCTCTGGGTGATTGGTCCATTCACTTAATATAATGGAGCTTTGTGTTTGAATAGAGGTAGGTTTCCAACTGGGATGTTAAGGATTCCTCTATCACAGGCTGTGGTTACAGGTATTAAAATGTTTACTGATAATGGTAAACATATATGCACTATTACCACCTGGAAAAAGCAAACACATAGAAACAGGTAAGGATTTAGAAATGCAAACAAACCATCATTTCCTTCTTCCCTGTACTGGGGTGTCTTGGTCTCAATTATATCAACTGCTTTTTAGGCTCTGTTTATTTACCTTTTGTTTTTGTTTTTTTGAGACAAAGTCTCCCTATGTAACCCTAACTATGCTGTAACTCTTTATGTACACCAGGCTGGTCTGGAACTCACAGAGATCTGCCTGCCTCTGCCACCAGAGTGCTGGGATTAAAGGCTTTTGCCACCATGCCTGGCTAAATTTTTCTTTATTTTATTTTGTTTGTACAAGTGTTTTGCCTGCACGTACGTGTGTGTACCACAGGTGTGCCCGGCGCCTTAGGACTGCAAAGACGATGTCTGGTCTCTGGAACTATACTTATAGGTGGTTGCGAACCAACATGTGGATCCTAGGTCCTGAACCCAGGTCCTCTGCAAGACCAGCAAGCGCTCTTAACCGCTGATTCGTCTCTTCAGCTCCCAGGGTTTGTCTTATTAACACAGGAAGGTTTCCGGAGTGTCCTTGACACGCTACGTTTCCACAGCTGCTGCAGTCTGGAAGTTGTCCCTTTGTTCATCCCTCCCTCCATCCACCTGGTGACACCGATCCCACGAGGCTCACCGCAGGGGAGCGACAGAGGGCAAGTCCCTGTTTCCTAGGGCCTTCCGTTCCCGGGCTGCGGTCCTTAGTCACAGCTGATTCAGTTCTCTGGAAAGCATCCGATGATGTCAGGGACACTTTGGGCATTGCTGTCACCTAGAAGGCGCTGCTACAGTTTCGTCCCTTGCGTCTACCACAGCACCTGCAGTGTTGCTGCCCTGGGCTGTTTGTCACCTGGACGCCTCAGGTCTCCCCACAGGCTGCCCCTGCCCTTCTCCTGCTTCACAGATAAGATGGGGGCAATTATTAAGGCAGATGCCAAGGCACCGGGCACTGAGTGCCAGTTCTATCTGTCTGGCAGAGTCCCCTCTTCCCTGAAGGTCTGTCTCTCTGTCCCTTTTCTGCTATTCCTTGGTTGGTGGAGGTGCTGGCTACATTTACTTCTCTTCCGTCCTAGAGCCCAGCACCAGGTGTTCATTGACACCACGACGCACTCGCTCCCTTGTCCTCTGTATGCTCACCCGGAATCCACTGAGTCACCACAGAGAGCTGCACCGGCTTCTAATAGTGGGTCATTTCTTTGTCCCTGCTCTGAGCGGAATTCATGGGAGGGACCCTGATTCTGCCTGTCAACTCCTCTGTCCCTCTCCCCAAGTCCTTCAGTACCCAACTCTGAGGAAGCAGGTCCCCAGCCCCCCTCACCCCGCCCCTCCCGCAGCTCCCCAAGTCTCCTCCGTACTCCCAAGTTTGCCTTGCAAGAGTGAGGGCCTCACTTTAATCCTCAGAAACCATAGCTGGGGAAAAGAGATGGATGGATCCCTGGGGTGTGCTGACCAGACATCTTAGCTTACTGGGTCAGCGAAAAAGACCCTGTCTCAAGAATATATATATATTATATAGATGTCACCTGATGAATGACAATGGAGATTGTCTTCTGGGCACGCGCGCGCGCGCACACACACACACACACACACACACACACACACACACACACACACTCTTTAGGAGGCCTCAGGAAACCAACACAGGATTAATTTCTTTTGTGGTCATCGAGCTTGTAGAGAGGCTTTTTCAAGAGCTGGATATGGATTGTAACACCATTCCTTTCTATATTTCACAAAGGTTAGCATGCTACTTGGAGATCCTACCTTATTTTCTCTGCAGATTACACGGGTCATTTTCTAGCTTTACTAACAAAACAAATTCGTTAAACATCAAATAAAACAAAATTAAGTAAGATTGTTACTGCCTCTGCCCTTTGTAGACTAGCTAATTAATACTCAATCTGTCTGAGTTGAACATTTTCAAATTAAGTTTCAAGCTTTCAGACTTAACCTGCAAATCTAGTTATTTTATTTGTAAATGCAGTGATTGTTTTTATATAAAAACGAGGATGATTTCTTTGTTGTTTGATTCGGGGTTTGCTTATAAATTTTAAAAGATGCAATTCCTTCAAACGACTGACTCTCACATGAGTAGCTTCATTTTCTAAAATGTCTTCCACAACCTTCACAAATTTAATATCTTTTTTTATTTTTTTTAGAAATGCCTGATGGGGCAATGTTTTAAAATCTTGCACGGAAAAAAAGTCTTTCTATAGCTGAAGTAACTCCTATAATAAACTTGGCTCTTGTGTGTAACAAATCGGGTCCTCTTGAATATTCGCACGCTGCTTAAGAATGTATTTATTTGGGACTGGAGCGATGCTTCAGTGGTTAAGCGTGTTTACTGTTTTTGTAGAGGACCCGGGTTCAGTTTCCAGCACCCACCTTAGGGAGCTCAGAGCCCCCTGTCAGTCCAGGTCCAGGTGAACTGATTGTCTCTTCTGGCCTCCGTGGGCCGATTGGGAACATCCAGTTGCGGTTTAACTAGCAACCGTTATTTTCTATGAATGACTTTTATTAGCATTTATTACTTATGCCTAACAATGGGCTCCACTCTGCCTTTTCATACGTGTCTATGATGTATTTTTACCATATTCACCATTTTGTCCCCCTTGTTGACACTTTCCCCTTTCCCAATTTATTCTCCATTGTGCCCTCGTGTGTGTGTGTGTGTGTGTGTGTGTGTGTGTGTGTGTGTGTGAGTCCATGTCCGTCCCAATGAGGGGGAATGATAGTGATGTTGAAGCCATTATTCACGACTTGGGGATTGTTTGAATTGGCATACTCACTAACCTCCATTTGTGATTTTCATGGAAATTGTTCAAGCCAGCGGTAAATGTAAAAACAGTCTCGAAAACTTGCACGCCGTTAGTTGACACTGTGCATTCTGCATCCATTCTGGTAAGCACCCATGGAAGGTAGGCTGTGTTCAGCCCTTTGCTCTGGCAATCTCATGAAAACCGGGCCCATGTGAATTCGTTTCTCTCCTGAACTAACGCCACGAGAAATGTTCATCTCTTTAGACAGCCTTTCAAGGCACCCCATAAAGCAAAGATCAGCAGCCCATAGGCACTTAAGTCGCTTACACTACTGATGGAATAAAAATAAAACTCATTGGTCCAGATTTTCAAGGCTCCAGAATCCCCAAGGTCCTAGCAAACGGGGAATGGACAAAACGAATGTTAGTGCCGCCCCGCTGTTCCGCAGGAGACTGCAGATCTGTTCAAGGGATTCGGGTGACTCATTTGGAAGCACCAGCGTCTTGTTTTTCTTCTAAAGAGAATGCAATTCTTAACACTTTTAAGGCAGGTTAGCACACGGAAGACGGCAGTGAGGCCTCTAGTTTTGTTTTGTTTTGTCTTCTCCCACGCTTCCTTCCCGCCCAAGTCTTGGCATTTGAGGTTGCTAACGGTTACTGTCTTTAGGCACACGCTAGTACACTCCTGTCACCATTTCCCTTTCCTCTCTCACAGCAACTGGTCCCCTCACGTGGGCAGCAGCAGCCCCGGGAAAGCTTTTCGTCCGTGTGGTGTGGCACATAATAGGTCTGGAAAATGAAATTGATGATGCATTTCTTTCAACATGAATTTATCTAACTCCCCCTTCCTCCGATGTCAAACTTAAACATCAGTTATGTTTCCATGGAAAGGACATCAGGGATGATAAAAATGGGCTTCAGGAAAGAGAAGAGAGGACAGTGGTCGGTAGCCTGCCGGAGTGAGTTCGGTGTAGTAAGTCAGCAGTGGTCTGTGATAAAACCTTCCTTACACTGCTGTGTTCGCAGGAACTGTCTATAAGTAGAACCTGACAGGAAGTGCGTTCTCAACCTATGGAGCCAGAAGGAGACAGGCAATGGTGACTCTATTTACCAGCCCGGGGATGGGATGAGGTCAGCGCTAATCTCACCGTAGTCTTCCTGAACTTTCCTGGTGACAGTCACAAGAAGGCTGCCGTAGCTCCGGGCGTCACACCATCTTTAGGGGAAGAAGGCGTCACAGTGCCAATTTCTCTCTTGCACCAGTCACCAGGGAAGCCAGTGTAGGGAGTATTTAAGGGCTGGAGTCTTCCATGTGAGAACAGAAAGGGCGTGGCTTGGTGACCCAAGGAGATGTCTAGAAGTACTCAGCCCAGGTGGCTTCATCGCAAGGGACCCTTGAAGCTAAGTAATGACATCCAGCATGTGCTCACTGAACAGCGGTGACTAGAACTTCACGTGTTAGAGAAGGGCAGCCCTCGGCTTTCCCATCCTCCCTGCTCAAACCCTCAAATGGTCCCGGTGAAGACTTGCCTAAACGGTACAGGAAAACACTCCAGATTATCCACAGAACTGAGATGAGGAGAATCCCACAATGTTTCCATTAAGAAGTCGGTCTACGATGGCCAAAGCTGACAATGGAGAACTTTTCCATTGGAGAACCTCAACCTTTATCCTTATGTTTTGATCGGTGTGTGTATGTATATGTATGTATGGTGTGTGTGTGTGTGTGTGTGTGTGTGTGTAGGCATGAACCTGTCACGCCCCAGGTGTTGAGGTCAGAGGACACCTTCTACCTTGTCACCTTGTTTGAGACAGGGTCTCTTGTTCACTGCTGTGACTGCCAGGACAGCTGCCCTTAGCGCCTCCGGTGGTTTTCCTGATGGGATTACAGATGCACGCCACATCTGGCTGTACTCGGGTTTGGGGAGCTGGACTTGGATCCTCATGCCTGCCCAGCAGGTGCCTGACACACAGAGCCACCTCTTTGGCCCTAGCTTGGATTTTTATTATAATCCCAGGGGAAGCCCGGCGTTGGTGGAGCACGCCTTTAATCCCAGCACTCGGGAGGCAGAGGCAGGCGGATCTCTGTGAGGTCTACAGAGTGAGTTCCAGGACAGCCTCCAAAACACTACAGAGAAACCATGTCTCGAAAAACCAAAAAAAAAAAAAAAAAAAAAAAAAAAAATAATCCCAGGGGAGCTGGGCCACAACCTGGTTAAAAAAGGAGTCATGGCCACGCTACTCTAGACCACACCCACTCCCTGCCACGCCCGCTCCTCCCCAACTATCCCAGAGCAGTAGATGTTGGGGAGTGGGAGTTTGGCTAGAGCAGGCCCACCTCCCTTCTCAGGTACAGGGACACCAAAAAAAATGCCTCAGAGCCATCCGTGCCTGCAAGGGCCTGTGTGCTCACAGTCTGGTACTGGCTGTGGGGGACTGCCTCTGTTTTACGACTTTATCTTACTAGAAAAGAAAAAATCCCAGCAAAGTTTCTGGTTATAAATGGG